AGGAGGAGGAAGCTGGTCATGTGGCAAACCACATCCTGACAGGCGGCCCCATCAGAATCGACTTTGATGACTAACACCCACCCACTGGAACAGCACCTCTGCCTGAGACCAACTTTCCTTGTCAATGCCTTCTTTCGTGGTTATTTGAGAAACAGGAGGTATTTGGTAAAGCCCCACTTGAACCTCATGACTTGTTTTCCTAGCTGCATGGTGATTATCTGAAGTACGTTGGGCACAGGAGGCAGCCCTCTGAGTACAACCTGGATTCCAGAACAGTTTGGTTTTACCTGCATTTCTTCCCAACAACCCTTTGGTTGAAGGGACCCTGTTGCTTTGCAGGCCTGAAGCATTACCCAACTTTGTCTTTCCCTCCATCCACCTGCAGGCTCCACAGGACTGTTCGTCCTTGACTAAACAAATGTTATTCAAGCCATTCTTTCATCAGACAATACAAATAGTATTGTAGCTGAACATGTTTGTTATGCCGTTCAGTGAATGATGCTGAAGCTTTCAGATGTGCTGAGATTTTGGATGACCATTAATAAAAACGTATAAAAAATATACATCTTGTAATGTGTAAGTTCCTTGGAGCTATAAAACAGTTGTCATTACAGGGAGCTAAAGCTCAGATCTATCACAGGCACATTTTTTAAAAACAGTAAAAGGTATTGAATAAAACTCGATATTTTTTTAGTGTGTTTTGATAATTGCATGCAGTTTAACAGTGTTTCCTCTTGCATTTAATGTATCATTTTTCTTCCTCCTCTCCCCCTGCTCCCCCCCCCCAAAAAAAAAAGTGATGCCTTTTGTTAGTGCTATAGCACCTTGATTGTAAGAAAAAGACCATTAAACATCTATAAACACCACCCCCACCCCAAGCATGATGCTACCAAGTCTTTATTTGAAAGTTGTAATGCATTACGCTGGTCTAGAGAGGCTGTGGCTCTGACAAAGGGATTAGAGGAAGGCATGTTAAGTATTTATAGCAATTGTTTGTTATGGGGTAATTCTCGGGACAGGGTTGTCCCCAGTGAGCATGGTGACAGGAGAAATGGCAGTGTTATTTGAGTGTCTGTGTGCATTTGCAGTCTCCTGGCGGGTGAGAGCTGGCTGGGGATGCAATTACTGGTGATGGTGGCAATGTCGTGCTTGTCAGGAATCCCTTTGGGCTGTCAAGCTCCTTCCAAAGAAAATACAAGAGATGATCAGCTCAGGCTCCTTTGGGCTTCATTCAGGAGCAGGAGCACTGTGTGGTGAAGGATTAGAAATGTGGGATGGAAGGAAGGAGGCACAGCAAGCAGTGAAGGACAAAGTAGGAGAGGCAGGGCTGGAGGGTGAAAGAGGAAGGACCTGCCTCCATCGTTGAGTGTGGCACCACAATGCATCCATAAGGTTTTCTGCAAGAAGCTTCACAGTGTGTGGCTCTGTGCAGCTCTGTCCTGTGTGTGTTTGGAGGTGCGTGGGAAGTCCCCTTCTAGTCTGCATCACCTATTTTCTACCTCGCTTGGAAGCAATCAAATAGCTGCCAAGGCCAAAATTTGTTGCTGCTCTCAAATGGATGGGGTGTCCATTTGAAGGGACCATTTAGAAGGGAGTCACAAATCACCTCAGCAATATTCCATTTCACAGATTTATTTCTTCTGGTGACTGAGATTCCAGTGAGGAATGGGCATTTGATGGGCTGGGAGGTTCATGATTTTTCTAAATGGCTTCATGGCTGCTTTTCCAATTTGGGAATATGAGTATGCATGTGTATGTGTTAGAATAAATGAAAATGTTTCTATGACAGTAGGTAGATATAAGTGGAAAGATGTATTAACTGACCATATGTGAAAGAAAAAGAAATGAAAAAGCCTCCTCCTTGCATTGCTGTGCATCTCCTGGTTCTGCTGATTCACATCTGCATTAGGACCACACAGGCAATTTCCAACTGTTGCTTCTTTGTTCAGGCAGCCCCTGCTAAATATACTTGTTTTGATAAAACAAGAGCTGGTGAATAAAATTAATTAGCTGGTGCCTTCTGGAGAGGCAACTGGTGGTTTTTGTTCCTGTGAAAGGGAGGTAGGGGAGTGGTGCAGAGAGAGGTTAATTTCCTGGCTTGTTTCAGTTATTGTGCACGTTATTTGGTTCTTCCCAATGAATTCATATGAAGCAGCCTTTCTGCTCTGCAGCTTTTTAGTTAAATTATCTGTAAGAGTAATGAGGAAGAAGCACTGGTCTGTGTGGGCATGTGAATCTGGAATGGTGTTTAGTTTGCCCTGCAAGCAGGACAGTAGGTCTGCTATCTGCCACTCCTCCTCTGATGTAGAGGGGATGCCTCCTAGGCACAAAACAAAACCATTTTTCAAAGTCTTTTAGTTCTCCCCAGTTTACCTCTTGCTTCCATCTGTCATCTTTGTCAGCATTGCAGCCTGGACATGAAATCAAAGGCCAAACTCATCTGAGAGCCAAGGGATCTGTTTGTCTGTTTAATTTCATCTGCCGTGACACAGAGTGGAAGCAAAATGCACTGCACAAGCAGGCAGTGTGTGTGCAGGAAGGTACCGTACCCCACCAGTGCTCCTGAGGGTCCCACCAGCACTGCCAACTGTAGTTGAAAGTCATCTTTCAACAGGAAGCCATCAGGTGAGCACAGCGTCTTCTTCCTGTTCAGAGCAGGGTGGAGATGAAGATGACCCAGGGTTTGTGCATTGACCTGGAGAGTCCCGTGATGAGCTGCTGCAGTGGCTGTACACCCTTGGGTAGCAGGAGCAGCGCAGAGGGGAAGCGATTTTTAGTTTGGGTGCAGAAGTTTTATTTCTTAGTTCTTGTGCTGGTTTTCTGCTACACGGGATTATCTAGTGGTTTTTTTGAGTCACTGCAGCCACTTGAAGGTTCTGAGGTTTCCTTGTAGCGCTGCTCATGGGGTTTTTCAGATTACCACAGTTTAACTTTGTAGCGAAAAATGCACTTTCTCAGTAGCTGCTCTGCATGCAGCGGTTTGTAGTGTTTTGGGATGAATGGTGGTCTGAAAGCAGGAAGAAATCATGATTTATATTAGTGGTGTCTCCAAAGCATCAGTGTGTGGATAGAGATTTTGTTCAGAACCCTTCAATTTCTCCACTGTATATAATAATCTGTCATCAGCTGCATGGCCTGGATTTAATCTGATATCACTTGAACTATAAAATGCTTTAAGACATTTGCCAGCCAGTTGGCTATTGAGTGTAGACAAGATAGGCTTTTTAAAATTGTGTAATTTAATCATAAGAGTATGCTCACATTTAAAACTGGCAACAGGCACCATTTCACCAACAAAATAAAAGTTTGGGAAGTGTTTGGAATAAGGAATGTTTCCTTCCCATCCCTAGCCAAAAATACGTGTTTCTTAGACAGGTAATCAGATTGTCTGTCCAGACTCATGTTCTGATAGACACATGCTGTGATGAACCTTTGCAATGCAGTATTCACTCTCCAGTGGCATGAGCACAGCTAGGAAAGGATGTCAGTGCATCTGATCAGTGTAAATTAAGGTCATCCTTAATGGAAAACATCCCAGCGCACCTCATGCAGGCACTTCCATTTCCTGGTCTTAATACCAGTGGGCTCTTGTTTCAGCCTATCTGGGGCCAGATGAATGTCTCGTTGTTCACTGTAAAGCAAAGATGACTGGCAAAGATGACAGGGCTTAAAAAATGTATAGCTCCATGCATGCATTTAAACACAAACTAGAAGAAAAGTAACTAAGACTGACTCATTCCATTCTTGATATATCACCCTTCTGTAGCCTTAACTTTTCTGTGGCAGATGGAAGAACATAACCATAAATATGTTTGCAGAAGACGCTGAAGTATTTATGTGGCATGCCACACGCACCCAGTAGCAACTTCCTTTCAACAAGAAACACAAATGAAAGCTGTCTGCAAATGTTATATGTAGATGAAATTCCATATACCACTTTAAATTCTAATTTTGCATGCAATAAAAGCTGCCGATAGCAGATGGAAGCATTATACGCATTTTAGGAAGAATGCTGTCTGAGGCTGCTGGTCACCCTTCAGCTGGCAGTGTCTCTGCCCCGCAGAGGCAACATGTAAGCCCTGACACCTGCCAGATAAGCTTCCAGGATTTTTAATATCTCATCCAAGTCCCTCATGCAAAAGATGGAAATGGATACCCAGCCATTTTGTGTAAAAAGGGGTCCTAAAGAGCTTTCTTAAATGATATAGGAGGAAAACAATTAAATAGATGCAGTCTGGATGACACTGCAGAAGAAAAGCAGCTTCCTCTCCTGAGAGTGTGGGAGAGTGCTGTGGGTTATTGCATTTCGCATCTCAGGCACAATGGGCTTTGGTCACCCAGATACCAGTTGTGCCTGTGTCACAAACAGAGTCCTTCACATGCTTACCAAGTCCTTGGATATTTTAAATCATTTTAGGATCCACCAAGTATTTAAATAAGCAGGTTGTCAGGGTGTGTAATGACGGGATGGAAAATGTCAGGGATGGGTGTGAGCAACATACTGAAAGCAAATTACCCCTCTTCTTCGGTCTGTCACCAGTAGTGGAAAAATATAAATAGTGTCCGTGGACTGGGATTTTCAGGGGTTGCAGAAACCTGATGTCCTCCACTGCAAATTAGAGAGTTGAGGGGTGAGGGGAGCTAAGGCAAACAAACAAGTAAAGTCACTTGTTTATAACCAGCGCTGCATCCTGCTTGCCTCTCCTCATCAGTCTATAGAGAAAATTGGCGTTGGATCATTCAGGCTGATGGACTTGGAAAGGGGTAGGGCTGTTGAACTGCATCTGTGGTGGACAGCAGGTAACACTGCCCTGTATTCACAGGCTGCCTCCCCTTTCACAGCCCTCTGCCCAAAAGCTGTAGTGGATGTGTATTGCTTGGTCCAAGTCCCCCCATCCCATGCTAGGCCAGAGGACTGATAGAAATCACTGTACTGAAGTGCCAGATCTGAGAGGGGACGCTTGGCAGCAGGCTCACGGAGACCAGGCATCTGCTCTTCCTCACAATTCATCTCGTTCTTCCTCATTGCAAATGCAGGCACTCCTTTGGCTGTTCATGAAGGGCCGGCAGCCCAGGGTCCAGACGGCATTGAACACTGTGTCTGCGACAGATTCACAAGCTGTGGAGAAGGAAAAGATTGAGCAGGTACTCTGGGACATCTGAGGGCTGGGTGGAAGCACCCTAGCCTGAGCCCTGCACTGAGTTGTGTGGTATTTGCAGTTGGAAGCGTGGGCCGTCTTTTTCTCTCTGGGCATTGCATTGTTATAAATCCAGAGGTTCCCTTCTGCTGAATTGAGGGCTCATTTCTCTCTAGGGTGGCACCAAACTAGCACTACCTTCTCTTCGCACTAACCCCACTCCTTTCTTGCCTCTCAGGCATTTCTCATTGATGGATCATTTGGGGTACTGCAAATAGTACTGTCTTCCAATCAAATTTCCCAGAACACCTCCAAAGTACTGTCTTTCCTGGCTTCCCTTAGTTGCCTATAGCCCCTACTAATCAACTTTTTCTGCTTTTTGGGAGTTACAGTGCCAGCTAGCATGAAAAATCCTACTGTAGTTGCAACAGCAGAGCTGTTGACACAGTCTGACTGACTGCTAGCCCCTCCTCTTCCCAAAAAACAAGCCCGAAACTGCTTGTCAATAAATAAATAGGTTAATATTGGGTCTTTTAAGGTTTACTCATGGGCACTAACATTGATTGCTGGATGCATAATAGATTTGGGAAGGCTCTGCCTTTGAGACTGTCTTTGCCTCTCCGACCACCTAGCTCTGCTCCTGCTGCTTTAGAAGTCTGCTCTGTTGGAGAGGCTGTAGTGAGTCAGTGGGAAAACTGAGGCTTTGCTTAACTGGCACTGCTGCAGCTGGGATGTTTGTGCCCATGCGAAGGGAGTGCAGGTGCTCTTCCCCTGCCTGCTTTCTCTGAAATCCTGGTGACTCAGTGGAAAGTATCCTAGATAAGAGCTGGGATGGTGGTGGAGGAGGACTGTGTGACAGGAGGGGCTCAGAGCAGCCCTGAGGACAGGGAGCGGCAGGTGTAGAGCAAAAGGCAAGAGGAGGCAGAGCAAGGCAAGGAGAGGATGGTGAACAGAGGTTCATTTGTGTTAGCAACTGCCTGTGTCTCCTGTGGCAACCAGGACAGAGATGCTGGTGGAATCTAATCCTGCAGACTATAGACTTGGCTTGGCTCAGCCAAGGAGTGTGGGCTCTGCTCCACCTTAACTCCCTATGATCTATCTGCTTGCTTTACTGCTGCAGGCAGAAAGGAAAAATGAGAGATCTGAAAAATTGACAGGGGAAAATCTGAAGAGATAGGAAGAGGTTGGCTGCACAAGGGTGACCATGAAAGATTGGCTGTACTTGGCCTATAGCACTTATATCTCAGTCCACATCTTTGTTTTCTCTTGCTGGCCTGGAAACTCTTGCCAAACGTTTATCTGTGAGGAGGCAGAACGCTATCTGCACTAGTGCCGGTGACACGCAGGCTTGCCTATGTGTCCTAAATCAGGCTGCACCTTTGGAAAACAAATGCATATTTAACTATGCCTTACAGCAGGGCATCAGCAGCGGGTATGAACCCAGAGGGCCTGGCTGTGATTAGCTGCGAGAAACTCAGTGGCACCACCAGTTTTATTTGGCTTTGGGAATGGGCAGTTCTCAAGGAATCCACCAGTTTTTCAGACCGGAGCTGCTGTAAATATCTTCAACTGTTTCAGTGTCACCTGCTGTTGGAAGGTCTTATCTCTGCCTGTCCTGCATTACAGCCCATCTGCAAGAGATGGATACCTGGCTTACAGAGGATGGGGATGCTCTGAAATGGCCTCAGGAGGAGCAGCCTGCGGGTGGCTTTCCTGCCATGGCTGATGTCTGGTAGTGGCCAGGTAAATGTTTCCCCCTCCTCACACAGTGCGGAGGTGCTTGATGTTGACACAGAGGATCAAGAGGCAGGTTTGGGCTCTCACATCTGTAACCCTCACAGAGGTTACCAAATGCAGCCTTTACCAAAAAGCTCTTCTCAAGCTTACAGACTGAGGCTTTTAAAATTCGGCAAAACCAGGGTGGCTCTTGAGCTGCTGACACATCACTAGAACTTTGTTACCACGGTGGCTTCTGAGCAATCCAGATCTCCCTGTGATGGCTCAACCACCACCCATGCTCTGGTATGTCCCTGGTGCCATCGTCATCTCTTACCTGTGAAACACATCCTGGAGAGCCCCTGTCCTTCGCTTTCCCAGTTTGGTGGCCCTTGGCCACGTCCAGGTTTCAGTGTGTGGCTTACTGGCTCTGGAAGGCTTTTTGGTCTCCCATGAAGGTGTTTGAACTCTCAGGGAGGGCATCCCAGGGTTGAAGGAATTGCTTCTAGGGTTATTTTGTTGTTTGTTTGTTTTGTTTTGTTTTTCCTTTACATGTATGTTTTGTAAGTTTTCCAAGTGTAAGAAACTTTAGGTCTCCTGTCATGGGACAGGCGTGTGTGTGGAGGGACAGATCTCGGTGTTCTCACTCATCTCTGACCCATCTGTGACAAGCACGGGACAGATGTCCTGCTCCCTACTGCAGATTTTTGCTTCTTTTGGCAAGGAAAGTACTCCCTGCCCACACCCTCCCCTCCCTGCCATCGCTTGTTCCCTCCCCAGGGGACACGAGCCGGGAAGCCTACCTTCCACCTTGGAGACGAACCCGAGGCTGCGCTTGAGGTCGGAGCAGATGGAGTGGAGGCACCAGCGGAACTTGGCGTCACAGCGGTATTTGTTGGCCCCGCAGGTGTCATAACAAACATCTAGCTGGTTACAGCACTTGGTCATGGCAGGGATGCCCAAATCTAGCTGGGGAGAGAGAGAGAAAGAAGTAGTGTCCCTTGGCTGTGTCCTGGCCTCAGACTCAAACAGTTGTAACTGAGTGAGGTGTTGCAGAGCCCAGCTGGTTCCTTTTCCAGAGCTACCCCCGATAGCTGGGACAGCAGGAGGGAACACGTGTTTTTCCTTCACCATCTAAAGAACTTGGTGAAAGGAGTGCAGGTCCAATGCAGGACAGATTACATTCCCTTCTCTCTGTCATGGGGAATTAACCTCTGGTAGAGAGGGGGGAAACAGCCCCTCCACAACCATTTGCTAGTTCTCATTTGTCAAAGCTCATCAGAGAGCTTCCTGTCCTTGCCAGCAGTGGCAATGGCCCCTTTTCTCCTTCTTCCTTTTCCTACAATCTGACAAGTCCTGCTTCGTGGCCTAATAAATTCACTATAAGTGTTATTAATACATTATTTCTCAGAGATGCACTTATGAGGCCAAGGACAAATACAGCTTGGTCAGGGGAGTTGTACTCGCTTGGAGGTAAACAGCAAGCTTAGCTAATAAGCATGGGGGTGATGGGGTAGAAGGCCTGTCTCCTGGAGAGACTGGACTCATTAGCTTGTTACAAATTTTTCCTCTTCTTGTCCTTCCTTATATAATATTTAGGAGATGAATAGTTTCTTCATTGCACTCAGCACTCGTGACGTAAGGAGGAGGTACCACAGAAATGCCCACAAGGTTTGCAATGAAATGTAGTTTAAGGAACTAATCTAACATGAAAAATGGGCTGTAAAGAGAGGGTTTTTCAGAGCAGGAATCAGCCTAATTGCTGCAGACTTTATGGGCAGCAGTAATGCATGAGCTAAATATTAATTTCTGCTCTTAAAGCCTCCTAGGAGTGCTTTTCCTGGTGATTCCAATATGGTTTCATTAATTGCCTTTAAAATAACAAGTGGGTGCAGTATTAAAGCCCACAAGTTTATTTCAGTGCTTGGCAAAGGCAAAAAGCATGGGAGGGGGCAAAGGGCCAGGGGTGGAGAATGCATTCAAGTATTGCTGTTTACACATTATGCTATGTCACTGAGCTGCCCAGCTTTGAACGTGTTCCCTGTCCTGTTGCAAGGACATGTTCAGGACCTTGATGAAATCACATTTCTCCACACTGGTGCTCTGCTTGGACAGGTGCCCCCTTTTCTTCTTCTAGTGCTAACCTGCTCAGGAAACTTCCTTTTTTGGTACCTACAGAGACAACCAGAGCAATAGGCTGGTCCTTTGCAACTCCTGTCTACGTGATTCCTGTTCCACTGCCACCAGCAGTTGAGATCTTAATACCTCCCCGACAGTAAGTTAGACAGTGCTCAGACTGACAATGACTTCCGTGCTCTCGGCAGGCAGCCATGTCTTCTGGCAGTCCCAGGCAGAGAGCTTGTCCCCTAACACCACCTAAGTGATATTTCCTCCCTTTTCCAGAGCTCTGGCTTCAGTTACAAAGAGAAACTGTCACACAGTCACTGCGTAGCACAGCTAAGCCTTTTCCTTCCCCAATATTATTAGCTGGTTACAGTGATTAGAGAATTGCGTCATTTGGGAAGGGTGGGTGTGGCAGTACATACACTTTCGGGTACCTTGAGCCCCAGAAAATAGGAGCTACAGCCATTGGGTTCTTGGGGTTTGTAGTGAGGTCGTGGCATTGGAGCCTTCCCTGAGAAAGAAAGGAAAAATGTTAGGAAAGCCAATCTTCCCAAGAGTAGCACCAAAAAGCAAGGAGTGACAGGCAGCTCCCCTTCGGTCTGCATCCCCAAGCACTTCATTCTCCTCCGGGAGATGCAAGGAGTGAAGGAGAGGTACTAGAGCTGGCTGAGACACTGGCCCTGCTCTCAGCTCAGTCCTGTCAAGGCTCTACAGCTTGGCTTAGATTGCACCTCCTCTGGCATGGCTACTGGAGCACTGCAGTGTGTGTGAACTGGGTCCCCAGTGCCTCCCAGATGTTTAAGCTGCTCTGAGTCCAGTCCCTAGGTCTGGGACTCTCCCCAGTTCTTACAAATGGGCAAGTCCCTCTTTGCAGTGTCGAGTTTTGCAGTTGAGCAGCTCTCCATGCTGGAGCTAGTGCCTCAGACCTCCCAGATCTCCTAGGAGCTTTTTCATGTGCTGCTTGAGTTTTCCACAGCTGGGATCACCCAGATGGGTTTTTAACTCTCCCAGAAACTACTAGCTAAACTACTACTTTAGCAAGGGGATTTCTTTCCATCTTCAGTTCATTCTTGGTGTGTCAGTGTGCTATGGATCTCTGCAAAAGTGCACTAGACCTTGCATGTCTGATCTTGCTCTAAGCAGGAGGTCTTGGACCATTTTCTGCATGTTGGTGATGCACTGCCATGTTTTGCAAATACTTTCTATTCCTTTATCTCTGCCCACCCTTAGTATGCTTCTTAATATGCAGAGAGGAGCAAGAATTTCCTCTGTGAATAGTTATTTATCCAATGTAGAAAGAGTCCAGCAGACAATCAGCTAACAGTAGCTTCAGCAGCAGTTTAATCTGTTTTACTTGCCTTTGAAGGTGTGCAAGCCCTCCTGTCTGCCAGCCCATGCTGGGGCTTTGTGTATGGTTGACAGAGAACTCAGGGTGGGTGCCCAGGGCTGGGTGGAAACTGTCCATGTGGAAAGGAGAGCCATCTATTCCCTGCCCTGTCTCATCCTCTTTCTCTCATCCCTACCTCAGCCCCCATCTTCATCTAACCTAACACTTCCTGCCTGGGGAGGACAAGTCACCAGCCTTGACCCTACTGTGCAAGGAGCTTTCTTAAAGGTGGAAGAGGATTCTGCCCTGGAGAAGTTGTGGAGACCGCCCCTCATGGAGTTGGGTTTCTCTGTACTGTCCCTTGATGGCTGTTCAGTGCTCGTTCTGTTTCTGTCCCAGCTGGGTTTATAAAAGGGAGATCTCAAATGCAGAATGAGGTGCTAAGACATTTGAACCCTGTTCTGGGAAAACTTCATAAGTTGTGTGAATGCTCCAGCAAAAGCATGTGAGAGTTGACCCTTCTGTAAGTCCATCACCTCTAGGGTTAAGTTTCTGCTTCCCTGAGCACCACTAGAGAATTTATATAGATATAAACTAAATCTAATTTAGCCCTTCAGGCAGGGTTGGGTTCTTTTAAACTCGATTTCTACTGTTTTCTTCTTGTCACCACTGATAATCATTTAAGGTGCTTCTGCCCTTTTTTCTGTGAAGGTACCTAAAGCACCAGTGGTTAATATAGCCATAAATCTACTGTGTTCTTGAGAAGACCTCGCAGCCAAATGCCTCAAAAGGTTTTACCTAGGAATGTTCTCAGCACCTTCTAAATTAAAAATTGCCAGACCAGTTTTGTTTAAACAATAGATTTGCGACAAATAAACAACAACCTGAAATCCTGTCCAGCTGTGAGATGCTAATAGCCAATTTTCTCCAACCCTAGAGAAATGCAGTGTGCATCAAGGGTTTAGCTGTCTGTAAGCCAAGATAAAGCTCTCTGCTGGCGCTTGTGTGGGAAGGTATTTCTCAGTACAGCAGTTACTGTGTTTCTACCTTTTTAGCCCTTTTTGAATAGGTCAGATCTGCTTTGTGCTCCAGATTTAATTTTCTTGTGCAAAAAGGGTTGTTATTTTGAGCAGGTACAGCTGAGTTAACAGTAGACAAAGAGAACGAATCAGTTGGTTGCAGTACACCATCATTATAGGATTATCTTTGCACCAAAATGGAAATCCGTTGAAGTACGCTGACACAAGGTAACTTCTGAATTCACAACACGCTGCACATTACACTATTTTGGTGGTTATGCTATAGAGAGAAGGAATTATGCCTTTATATGGGCTGAATCTATAACCCAAGGCTCCCAAACAATATAATGAGAGGAGGGCTGCACCCAGGTCCTGGTGCAATTCACAGCCTACTTGCTCTTTTGGAAGGGGATAAGAATTGGGACTCAGAATTCAAATGTTCCTGAACTGAAGTAGGAGACAGAAGAAAATTCAAAATCCAAGGTGGATTTTGCAGGATGGGGTCAAATTTTAATGACTTGTTTGTAATGCTGACGATAAGTTATGTTCCCGCAGCACACTGTCAATTAATGGGATAAGGTGGCAAGTCAGAGTAGGAGTGAGACTGCGTGGGCATATGGAGGTAACTGAGTTTACAGAAGAAACCTTCCATTACGGTGAAGTTACAACTATTATAATGTCTTAGAAAGTTGTCCTGAGGAAAAAAAAAATCTCGTATGAGATTTGTAGTGATCAACAAAACTGAACTGCCTTAAAGACTAGCCCTTGTAGGAAACCTGCCCCCCTCCTCTCTGAAAAACAAAGCTTAATCATTTGTAAAGTGCCCCTTGGTGAACTCTTTCTTGGGTAGATAAAGTCCAAGACACCACAGTTAACCTCTTTCCCACATCTTGTTTTCTAGCTAACAGGAAAATTTTGTTTTAAGAGCAAAGCAGAAATAATAGGCGTTCCTGACTCTATGTGAGCATCGACTCTGTTATCATTTATTGCTTGCCCATCCTTATGGGCATGTCTGTGATAGGGGAAGGGACTTGGTGGGTCACTGTTTTGCTGCAGTGTTTCACCAGGGGCCTGTTGTGGTCTGTCTGCTAGCTGCAGGGCATGGCTGGGGAGAGATACCAGAAGACAGCTACAAGCACAGCAGGACCTGCCCAGCAGCACACTGAAGAGCCATGCTGATGTGTAGAAGCACAGCATTGCTAAGGAAGCCTGTTCTTTGGAAGAAGATACACTTCAGGGCACTGCCTTGTTGGCATGGCCTTAGAGGAGAACTGAAGTTGAGTTTCTAATGGGAAGCGAGTTTCCCTGGTGCATTTTAATATCTCCAGGCTGTTGTAGCTGTGCCAAGAGACTGGAAAACAGCCAGCTGGCTAGAACAGCCGCTGGCAATGCGGGAGGTCTCAGATACTGCAGTACGGGTACACTGGCAGGGGGAAGTGAATGTATTTCTGAGTGAATAGATGGTCTTGGGGCTCCTTGCTGTTTTGAGTGGCCCATTGTTATTTCTCTGCCCCAGGCAAGCAGGCTTTGGGCAGATGTTGCCCAGACTTACCACAGCCTTTTAGCAGTGTGTTGAAAAGCCTGACTTTGAAGACTTTTTCCCACAGCCTGGATGTGCCTCCTCATTTTAAGCCCCTTGGGACCAAATGCTGGGCAAAACATTTAAGTCCTCCCTGGCCAGACAGCTGAAGGAAGCTATCAAGGGGTTTAGTCCTAGTTCAGGCTGTTTCCCCCGCTGAGTTGCCCAGAGAGATTTTGTAAGGAGGAGGAGATATTTGCCATCAAATGCTAGCGTAACCCTAATGTCCTGATCTAAGGGAGTAATCCATCAAGTTGTTTGTTTTCAGACCTTGCTGGCTGCTGAAAAATCAAGAGGAGAGTCATACAGCCAGAACAGCCAAGTGCTATGTGCTCAGCTGAAGATGGATGTGGCAATCACAGGTGAGTCCTGACCTTTATCATGGCAAAATAAGCTATTATCGGTGTCTCTTGGCTGAAATTAAAGAAAGTAGAAGGCATAATTTTTGTTTCGTGCCTGGGGAAAAAGCAGTCAGACCCTGATTCAGCAGGCCCCCGGTAAAGATGGTTTGTGTTCATTCTTCTGGGTGCAGACTGGGTATCACTGGTTTGGGATCGTCCCTGCATCCCCTCCACTGGCAGTTTGCAATGTGTGTGCTAGACACCAGCAAGCACAAGTGGTCCAGCAAGACCCTTGGAGGTGCATGGGCAGCATTTCAATAATTTCCTCCTTCAGCCAGTGATGAATGAGTTGTTCAGCAGAGGATGAGAACAGGGTTAATGATGTGCTTGTTTGTTTTCCTTTCTAGGTAAAAAATTTCTCCAATAAGATGCAGGATGCTCTCAGGGAGCAGGTAGGCGCTTGTGTTGCTCTGTAGAGATGCTCTTTCCTCCTGCCCAGAGTGCAGGGCCAGGGCAGGGAGAGCCCCAGCCTCAGGATGTGCCCAAGAGCAACTTCTTAAGGACTTGGTGAGTTCTCTGAAAGAAGCTCTGAATATCAGCCTTCCCAAACTTTGCCTCAGGCACACTGCAGTCCCAGCCACCTTATGCCCACTACCAGGGTTTTCAGTCCCTTTCTGCTCTTAATTTGGAGTGTGGTGTGGACCTAAAGGAAGGTTGTCATACACGACATGGGGCTGCCACACCATGGGCTTGGGGACAGGCTTTCTTGATGGGCAAATGGCCTCATCTTGTGTGCTGGGGCAGTGCCATGGTGTGCATGGGGGTCTTCTCTTCCAGACACTGTGCCCTCAGGACACACGCTGCCAGCAGTGGGCCCCACAGAGCAGCTGTGGCCCCCTGAGCTGCTGCAGAGAGCCAGCCCTGGCCAGGGAGAGCCACGGGGCCTGGGGCTGAGTGACCAGGGCCACTGTGGGGCTGCGGTACCTGGCTTGCCACTCCCTGTTTGCTGTTAGCATGGGGCCTGGGGAGCAGAGCTGGCAGGACAGATATATGCACATTATTTAAAACCAAATTAAAAAAACCTCAACAACTTTAAGGCTGATTTTAAACTCTCCTTGTGGCCCTGCTTTGGCTAAAGGTGGCCCTTCTGCCCTCTTGTCCTGACAGGGAGCTTGGGTCCCAGCCCTTCAGCATCTGTGTTTCTCCTGGCACCCTCACTGCTGGCTTGGGAGGGGTGGGAGGTTCTTCCCTCCAGCTGCATCTGCAGGGGAGCATTACAAATGCTGTGCAGGCTGGAGAGACACCGCGTGCAGCCCTGTGTTCTGGAAGAAATAAAACGCATGCAGATCAAAACTGAGTTGGTGGGATCTCTCCAAAGCATGGAGTCTGTGTCTGTGAAAACCAGTGCTTGGGAAGGGGAGGGGTTGAAATTGCCTCTGTGCTCACAAGCATCTTGCCCAGGTGGTCATTAGGGACATGGGATGAAGCTGGGGGAAAAAGGTCTGATGGGCAGTTGTGGATGGGCAGGCTGAGGTGACAGGTGACAGTTGTTGTGGAGACAGTCATGGGAGGCTGGGGAGAGGAAACATTCTGTAGGAAACCTCCTTGCTGTTCGAAAGCAGGTTGTTTCAGCAGGTACCCTGCTGATGGCTGGTGCTGCCTGTGCCTCCACCCGCCCAGTGCCCCACAGAGCTGCACCACAGGGGCCTGCCCCACTGCGCCTCTGCACACCCAGTCTCCTGCCCTGCCTGCGCTCCTCCTGCCCTGCTCTCCCTGAGGTGTCCCCCGCCTTTGTCTTGCCCCCAGGACAAACCAAACCATTCCTTTTTGGTAAATCACTCTAAAGTCCAAGGCAAGTGGCAGCTGCCTCATTCCGCCTTGAGTAATAAAGGTTCCTCCATGGTGACAGCAGGTCTCGTTTACCCTCCTGTTATCTCCCCTCCTCCAGCCCACGTTATTAGCCAACTCGGGACTGCTGAACAATGACACTCCGAAGGTTGCTGAGATTAGAGCCACTGGCAATACTCACAACCCTTCTGAGTCAGGTCTGCACAGGCTGCTCATCCTCTCCTCCAGGGCCTCGCTGCCTACCCTGGTCCTGCTCTCTAGAGTCCTGGCAGCTGAGCAGCCTGGTTACCCAGATACCCTTCCTGTAAAACCTGTGTCCTCTCCTCTTGTCCCCTTGCACCCAGCACAGTGACTTCAAGATCAGGCTGTTGTTGGTGAGAGGGAAAGATGAGGGTTCAGTGTGCCTGTGCTGGCACTAGCAGAGAAGTTGTGTCTCTCTGCAGTGACTTCCTCTGCTGAGCAGTGCAGGGGTCAGGTTGTGGATAGGAGCTGGTTGTGGTCTTAGGGAAGGAGATTGCTGTCAGTTTCCACCCAGAGGGCAAGAAGGGAAAGGAAGGGCAGGGAGAGAGGAGCCAGCAGGAGTGAGGTTCACTTACCATATCGACATCTGTACTGACAAACGCCATTTTTTCCGCCAAGCAGTTCCAAGAAGGAGTCAAAGTAGCTGTTAACTGTTTCGAAGCCATCCCGGATGGCCCCGACGCCCCAGTCTGAATAGAATGACTCTGCCTGGGGAGCTTGGTGGACGGTGTTCTCCTGTGTTGTTTCCTCGGTGCATTGCCCTAAGCCCAGGGTCAGGCACAGAACTGCTGCCTCGAAAAGCAGCCGCATGCTGCAGTCCAGATCCAGGCTCTGGAGCCTTCGTCCAGGCAGATGTGCAGGCAGGGAGGAGTGGGAGCGAGCTGTTGTGCATAGGAGGCAGGTAAGCACCCCTCTCCCCTGGACTTTAAACACTGCCGAGGGAGCCGGCATGAGGTCACCACAATCAGAGTGCAAAGTGCACCACAGAGATCTGCACCAAGTTCATCTCGCAGAGGAACACCGGGGTTTGAGTTTGCACAATCCCCTGGAACAGGCTCAGCCCCTGCGGCACTAGGGCTTCAGCCTCCCCAAAATCACCGCTCCCTGGGGTGCTGAGTGGGGTCTGCCTGCCCAGGCTGTGTGGCACATGGGAGACCCTCCACCTGCCCCACCGAGGCACTGCATGGGCTGCCCCACTCTCTCCCCAGCCTCTTCAGAGATGAAGAGTGTTTCTTTGTTCAAAATTTCTGCTGCTCAAGCAATGGGAGTAGCAGACCAGCAGCAGACTGAGGAGCACCCCTTGCCTTTTTCCTAGGCCTCCTGCGCACGAAATAGGGTGGGATGAGACATCCACCCAGCCTGGCTGCTGTGGGGAATTGCTCCTAGCAAAACCTGTAGGACCACAGGGCTGACACGCTTGTTGTGTGCAGGGGCTTTCCACAGCTGCACCCCCAGGACAGGCTGCCTTGCAGGAGCACACCCAGGACAGAAAAGGGTGGCAGGGAGCACCGTGTCCCGCGCTGTGCCGTGTCCTGCGCTGCCCGGCATCCTGCGCTGCTGTGGCTACAGGGTGCTGTGGAGCCTCACAGGGGTTGATCCAGCAGCTAGGAGTAGTTTGTGTTTAGAAACACTGCATTCAGGGCAATCCCTTGGCATGTCCCCTCCAGTTCCAGGATCAATGACATAGATGAGTATTTGCCTTTGATGGGACTCCTGAAGGCTGGTGTTCCATGACTGGTTGATAGAGCTTTTGTGTAATGCCAGTGTTGCCAAATTAAATGTGTAGCATAGGTGGCCCAGAGCGAGAAAGGGCTGGCACCAAAACCCAAGCCAGGTAACGGGTTTGTGGGGTAGCTGCAGGTGCTGGCTCTGGGGTGGGACTGGCTTGCCAGGACCTGGGGGCCTGTATGGCCAATGGAGATTTCAAAGAAGTTACTCATTAAAAGAAAACAACCAAAATGAACATTAACAGCAAAAGACAACACGAGCCACTGATAAAGAACAGGGAAGGGAAATGGCCTGGGAAGGCTCTGTCTGCTCTCGGAAAGCTTTTAGATGTGTCCCAGCACAGCACTGGCTCTCAAAAACAGCGGCTCTGCAGCTGGTCAGCAGGTCGACTGATCTCTCTGGGCTCCAACAGCCAATTTGAGCAGGAGCTTCTGTTTGAGTGGCCAGGCTGTCGAGTGGAGATTCTCCAGAGGACAAGGGGGAGCTGGGCAGTGGGTCTTTCAAATATGTGGCAAACATAAGTGCAAATTCTGACATTTTATTGTTTTACAGGAGACTTGGTCCCACTGCATTGTTACTTCCGAAGCACCAGAGCCCTGTGGCACCAGTCTGCCTGCACCTTTTGGCACACAACTGTGCATTATGTGCTCCAGACATGGGATAAGGAGGAGGGACCATGGCCAAGATTTGGTTTCTCAGACAGGTAAGTCAGAGAAGAAGTGGGGAAGAGGAGCAAACAAGCTGGTTCATCCCTTCCTTATGAAATGGTGTGGAGCTGGAGCCAACTGCTGCCTTCTTGTTGCGTCTGTTCTGGTGCCCACTGCTGACTGCCTTCATGCTCAGTACCCCTTAGGAAAGAGAGTGAGGGTTCCTTAAGTCAGCAGCCAGAGGTGACTTGGTTGTACAGCCACATACCTGTGTGGTGCCTGCCTGAACGCTGGTACATAGCTGGAGCTGCACACTGCTGTCCTAGCCCATCAGAGGAAGCTTGCCTGAGTTACTGGATGAGGGGATATATAAGGTGTTCAGGAGGTCCCAAAGGAACCTTAAGCTAGCTTTGTCTTTTGGGTGACAAACCCAAGGAGAGAGGCAGAGCATCGTGAAGGGAAGTTGGCAGTGTCCAAGCTGCAGATAAGGAGTGGGAGCACGGTAATGCCTAATGAGAAATTAGAGGGACATTCTGGGTTGAGATAGAGGTGCCAGGTTGCTTCTAGATGGTCCAGCAACTCCCTGCCTCTAGTGAGCCTTTCTTGAACAGGGTGTCATCACTGGCACAAAGCAGCAGGGATGCCTGTGAAGTGCAGGGCAGGACTGGAGGCCTGAGGCCTGTCCTGCTGTTCAGACTGTGCTGGGAACTGGTCTGGCGGTCACGGGTGGAAAAGGGCCACTGTCCCTGGAATTTGTTGTCAAGGAGCCCCAGTGAAGGGAAAACCGGGTTCAACAGTCCCACGCTGCGTCTTGCGCCGAGTGGAGCCGTTTGTGTTGGTGGAATCCCTGCCAGGTTGCAGTTCTAGTGCTTCCCACCCTTAGAAACAGCCTGGCAGAAGTTAATGTGAAAAAGGGCAAAATAGCTACTCAGAAATAGCTTGGAAACATCGTGTGGAGCCCCTGAGTGGCTGTGCTTGGTGCTGTGCTTTTATGCAGAGCCTTTTAGGGTTGCTCTGGAGGCAATTCCAGAACACGGTTTTCTTTGTCATCCTAGTCCCTGGTGGCTGATCCATGTGCTGCTGAACAGCAACAGAGAGGGGAAAAATGCTGGCAGGACTGCAGAGGATGCAAAACACGGTGACTGTTGCATGAGCTGCCTGCAGGACTTGCAGCCTGGACGGGTGGCTCTGTCTAGGGCGTGGAGCCCAGGATGTTTGCAAAATCAATCGGAATTAGTTAGGAAAGCTGAACAGGGCCAGGGGAGCAGCTGGCAAAGTGCAGAGCCTGTGAAAACAGGAGTCAGAAACTTTCCTGCTAGTTCATGACTTCTTGTCCCAAAGCAAAAGTTTGTGAATAAAAAAGAAGTCTAAATTGCTTTCCCAAAACGTGGCAGGCCCTTTGCCGTCCCCTGGGGATGAGGCACTCTCCTTCCTTCCTCCTGCTTCCTTCCACCCCTCCCCACACCAGGCTCCAGAGATGTTTTCAGTCCAGCTGCAAATAGCTTGGTTGTACCCAAACAACAAAAGATCTGAAGACCAAGAAAAATGTAGGTTTTTCAGTAACACTAACAAACACTACACAACACCTCCCCACCCAGAGTTATCTCAGGGATTTGCTGCTCAGGCTCAGCGGCTGCAGAAGTGAGGACTTCCTGAAGTGGATGTGCACAGCGGGTATCTGCAGGTTGTCTGACCTTGCTTTGACCCACTGTGGTTGCAAATACCCCCTCCCTATGACCATTTTTTTCTGGAGATACAGATGTTTGCCACGATGGTGAACTCTGACAACTGGTTTCTGTGCCTTATCTTGACCTCAGGATAAGCAGCTCCTGACTCCATGCATTCATTTCTGACTCTGTAATGCTTAAATATAGAGCAGTCCTCGGGCTGTGATGAGTCACTCACTCCTAATGACACTATCAGACTGTTGGCAGCTGCTCCTGTCAAAGGGAGGTAGAGCTGAGTACACGGGGCAGACGCCCGTCCCGCAGCAGCGCAGCTGCACACATCTGCCTGTGTCCCCTGCACTAACAGTAGCGAACCCCATCCTGGATGAAGCTGGAAACCCTCTTGGCTTTGTTATCAGCTGTGCCAAAGCAAACACTGACCCTTGCATCCCGGGCTCGGCTCCTGGGAGGGAAGCACAGGGCCTGGTCCAGCTCCTTTTGTGCATTTGTTTTTCAGAGCACACTGTCGCAGGCAGAGAGGTGGTCATGTGCTGTGCTGGGATCCTTCCCTTTGAGTCCTGCTGGGGACGGGGGGGACACCGAGGATTGAGGGGATGAGCTCTATCAGTTTTGGCTGGCTTGGTGAGTTGCTGGTCAGTGTTTAAGCAGAGCCTAAGTGGGGGGAATAGGCAGCTTGTGGTTAAGGTTAGTGGGTAATCTGGTCAGTTCAAAGCCCAGTTTGGGAGCCAGATGAATCAAATGATCAGAAGAAATGTAGCTCGATGATGCAATGCCCGACTCCCTCACAGAGGCAGGTCAGAGTCCAGCAGCTGGAGGAGGATGGGTGGGTGGTTATAGGCCCTCTCTCAGGGGGACTGCACTTGCAGTCTGGTCCGGTCTCTCCGGGAGTCCCTGGACAGACCACTTCAGCCTTGTGCTGCCTTCCCCCATCCATGGGCACTGATACTGTCAGACCCTTTCCTTTCTCGTTGTCTCGTCCAGCCCTGTGGTGATTCACAGGCCTTTTTCGCTGGAGGAGGATGGGTGGGTGGTTATAGGCCCTCTCTCAGGGGGACTGCACTTGCAGTCTGGTCCGGTCTCTCCGGGAGTCCCTGGACAGACCACTTCAGCCTTGTGCTGCCTTCCCCCATCCATGGGCACTGATACTGTCAGACCCTTTCCTTTCTCGTTTTCTCGTCCAGCCCTGTGGTGATTCACAGGCCTTTTTCCCTCCCCTGCCTTGTTTAGCTGCAACTGCTCACAGTTCCTCCCCAGACAGGATTCCTGCCATGGTTGTACTCCAGCTGCAGTGGTCCTGGAAGAGCCCTGGATACCCAGGTAGGATGGTGAGAAACTACAGTGCATAAGCAAGATTGAACCACAATTCTCACCTTCCTCCATGGGAGGTGGCAAAGGCCACATAGGCCCCCCTGAAATCCTAGGTGGGTGCCTCAGGCCACACGAAGGCAGAGCAGCCCCTCGCTTGTCTCTTAAGGGAACGCTC